ATGAGCAACCTGTATATAAAGACCACCAGTCTATAGTGACCACTTTTAGGCAGTCCCAGGATATAACATATGAGCAACCTGTATATAAAGACCACCAGTCTATAGTGACCACTTTTAGGCAGTCCCATAGCATAACATATGAGCACCCTGTGTACAAAGACCACCTGTCTATAGTGACCACTTTTAGGCAGTCCAATAGCATAACATATGAGAAACCTGTGTACAATGACCACCCCTCTATAGTGACCACTTTTAGGCAGTCCCAGGACATAACATATAAGCAACCTGTATATAAAGACCACCAGTCTATAGTGACCACTTTTAGGCAGTCCCATAGCATAACATATGAGCACCCTGTGTACAAAGACCACCTGTCTATAGTGACCACTTTTAGGCAGTCCCAGGACATAACATATGAGCAACCTGTATATAAAGACCACCTGTCTATAGTGACCACTTTTAGCCAATCCCAGGACATAACATATGAGAAACCTGTGTACAAAGACCACCAGTCTACAGTGACCACATTTAGGCATCCCCATAGCATAACTTATGAGAAACCTGTGTATATAGACCACTTGTCTATAGTGATCACTTTTAGCCAGTCCCAGGACATAACGTATGAGCAACCTTTGTACAAAGACCACCTGCCTATAGTGACCACTTTTAGCCAGTCCCAGGACATAACATATGAGCAACCATCTCATCATTCACTGGACAAATTTTATTTCCAATGTATGAATTAGCAACGCATAAAATAAATAATCCAACCACCATATAAAGACTCTCGTTACCTCTCTGACCATGCCAATGAAGACTCCCGTTACCTCTCTGACCATGCCAATAAAGACTCTCGTTACCTCTCTGACCATGCCAATGAAGACTCTCGTTACCTCTCTGACCATGCCAATAAAGACTCTCGTTACCTCTCTGACCATGCCAATGAAGACTCCCGTTACCTCTCTGACCATGCCAATAAAGACTCTCGTTACCTCTCTGACCATGCCAATGAAGACTCTCGTTACCTCTCTGACCATGCCAATAAAGACTCTCGTTACCTCTCTTACCATGCCAATGAAGACTCATGTTACCTCTCTGACCATGCCAATGAAGACTCTCATTACCTCTCTGACCATGCCAATAAAGACTCCCGTTACCTCTCTGACCATGCCAATGAAGACTCTCATTACCTCTCTGACCATGCCAATGAAGACTCTTGGGTGGTTGCTTTACACAGGTTTAACTGTACTGTAAATTACTTTTTTCTTAGATTTTTCAACTCAGGGAGAACCATAACATTTGCAGCAGTAAGCGTTACTTTCAGTGTATGATTTGTAAAATCAAATAATGTCATCAAAGTATATCCTGAAAATTATTTGAAGAGAAAATTAAATGATTTACATAATTTTACTGTCACCATTTGCTTATTTGTTAGCTTCTCATTAGTCTTCAATAGGGGATAGATGCACTAAATGGTTTATATAATTTTTTGGCTTTCCGCCAACGTACAAATTTAAAGTACATTGTTTTGCTATTAGAACCAGTAATGAATAAATAATGCTTACCGTGTTTGTTGTAGATTAACATAAAATTATTATTCGCTTTATCTTGATTTTTTAAATTTTTCAGCATGATGAAAATATTTTCTGTTGAATCTACTCTACTGTAAACCCAATTACTGATAAATGATTGCATAGTGATATTGAATTAATGTGAGTTGTGTGAAAGAATTATTTTGCAACATTATTTTGATTTTAAAATAAAAAAAAAGTATTTCTGACTGAATTTTTAGTTTGATTTCTGATGTGTCTGGTATTATATGCATTACAGTCCAAGTAAAAGTGAATTCCTAAACGTTTTTTTTTTTTTTTTTTTTTAAAGTGAGTATTATTGTTTTGAATAATTTCATGGTTTGACCCTGTCTGTGTGTGTATCCAAGTTTGTTCAATCAATTTATTGTCAATTCAATGAAAGTAAAACCAATGCACATTTAGTTAATCCCTGTTATACATTCTTTCGGGTCCCTTCATCTGTTGTTTTTAGCTTCATTGACCATTGTCTACTGGTTATCAACCATTTTCATTCAAAGTTGGTATTGTTCTGATTGGTTACTGATATATGTAATTCTACCACATAAGGCCGTATTTACTTTACATTCAATTGATATTCATTGATTGAAACTCTCTGGCTTCAATTGTCCCTATTTCATAAATACTACCTTCATTTTTGACAGATCCTGGCATTTAAAGGTCTTTGTAAGTTCCTCTATCAGACTTTTCTACAATTTTCTAACAGACTTGCCTTGTAGCCAGTTTTAGTCAGACTAGAATTCCCTTTGAAATCAACTTGGAAGTCTGTTTTGACAGGATGATATTCATATGAATGAATTCGGAATCACAATGATTTAAAAGCCTATTGCCAATATTTCTTATGCCAGACCTGAATGCAACAATGTTTCAATACCTTTACAGCCATTTTTACTGGCTCTTATAGGACATGACTAGTACACCATGTGGTCACTTATGCATGATCAATGATTTATATGAAAGTACTAGTATCGTGTGATTTTTAGCTCAACTGCCCACTTTGTCAAGTGGAGCT